GGAGTTACTTGAAAAAATCGTAGGATTGCATGAGTTTGGCAACCTACTGTATATAGTGAATTTATAAGGGCATTGGAAATCAATGACAAAATGCATACAACTGAAGTAGCCATCTTTGTGCAGAATACGATTTTTGCATTTTGTCAACAGAAAGCTCGTTTAAAAACTGGTATCTTGACGTGACCGAAATGTATTGGGGATTAGGCTATACGATAAACCATAGTACTGTGGTGGATTGCCACAATTCCGCCCCCCCCTCTTTGTTTTTCAATGCCTACGGCCCCTCACGTTATGTGCCTTCGCAAGCAGCTGTTTTTCCACTCGCTGACCTGAAGACCACTTGACCCATATTAACTCGCACACACGCGTGCCCAACGAGTCGCGGTTTCTCAAGAGCCACTTAACACGCCACCGTTTTGGCCAACGCAGCAGGGGGCCTTTACAGGCGACATTCCCTCGGGCAATTGCAACACACCAATAACAGAACACTTGAACCTGCCCCGCAATCCTACTTAAGCAGTTGCCACGACTGTCTCATCCTCTCTCAGGTCTGGCTAGGCGCAGTGAACGCTGCCGCCAGGGACAGCAATTAGGAGTTCTGTACACAATAAATCACTCCTACTGGTGACTTGTACCTCTTTACTTCCAACCTGGAATTTGGCCAGATGAACGTAGTGATCTGAGTACAACCACTACCTAGACCGCTACAGTACAACCCTGGTGAAGTGGAATCGAAAAGCGCGACTGCCTGTGACAGATCAAGATTGAGTTCAAAGGCACAACGATACGAGCATGTTACGTAACCAGATGGTAACGACTCTACTTAACGAACTTGTTCGCATCGGAAACGCATTTCTGAATTTCATCCTCATAATAAAATTAACTGGAAACTGCAAGTTTGGTAGTCATTCGCACACAAGAATGCCCAAGCAAGACTAGTGAAGTAAAAGTCCACAACGCCAATAAGCCGACGTAACCCGAAGTAATGAGCGCGCACGTAAAGACACTACTCCCAATAAGTGAGTAGAAGTGTTTGCTTAGTAGTTTCGACCAGTCGGGGGCTGTACGCCTTTCGCCTGCAATCATGTAAACGGCATCTTTTTTGGATTTTTCTGCCGTTCCGATACATTTCTTAGCCACTGTGATACCAAACAGAACCTCTAGGGTGATCGCCTATCTTCCCGTTTTAACGAAACTAACTCGAATTGAACGATCGCCCAATA